AGACCCTGGCCTCACACAGCGCTGCCCCGCTGAAATGCCGCATGCAGCCTGGGATCAGCTAGGGAGTCCCCAGCTGAACCTGGGCTCCACACGGTGCTGCCCCTTTGAAATGCTGTGGCGTTAGATACTATGGTGAGAGGCACTAGTGCTGTTCATTGTACTGGGAAGACATTCAGGCCTGGTCCTCAGTCAGCTTAAGATCTGTCACCCAGATATGCAAAATGCTGAGCTGGATTCGGCTTAACTTAAGCCGAGCTGTCACTGACGACATGGTGGGAGGCCAACGGGAACACACGCTTCCGTCCACTTTCCTTATCCTCACAGAATGAGGAGTACCAGATACCAACAGGGGCTGCCCATAGCGTTTGATTTTGGGGGCTTGCACTAGACTAGTTTATATGAAACCCTGAATGTCTTCTGGGTAAAATCAATAGCAATAGCGAAGGCTCTGACTCCCTTTCGGAGCAAAATCTGATCTTCCGTGTAACCTTGTGCCCAGAACGAGGCGAGAACAATGAAGGCAAGCTCCTCAAAGGTACAAAAGCCTTTGTATAAAAGACAATGGAATGAATTTTAAGGGGCAAACCCCAACATGGTGTGGCCAGAGCCAGGTGCCCTGGGAGCTGCCTGTCACCCATTACATTGGAGAAGACAAACCAAAGCAACTGCGATGAACAAAAACCAGCGAGCGTCACAATGAGGAGAGCAGCTGGGGTGCCAGTCCAATGAAGCGGCGTGTGTGAATTTCTGAGAAATGAAGGGAAGGAAGAGGAGCTTTTTCCAGGCAAGGACTCAGTAGAGAGAAGCAAGAGGAGCCTGGGGTGCTGGAGAGCGTGTTCCCTGTGCAGTGTGGGTGGACATACAAAAGCAAAGCAAAAGAACCTGCGTGGGACAAGGAGGAAGACGAGACCCTTTGTTAACAGCCACCAAGCTCATTCTGCCGAGAGCGAGCGTCCGAGCGAAGATGCAGCTACAGGCCTCGTACTGAGAGATTTGCTAAACCCCCAACGCCAGCCATGCTCAGTCTCTGCCAAATCCTCCCGCTTTGAAGCTGTGCTCTTGAGAGCAAGGGAGGGGCTGCAGCAGCCCCGGGCAGAGGACTTGGCCTGATTTGTGCCTGGTGTCGGCCCTGTTCCTAACTGCACTGGCGCACACCAGCCTCGCGTACAGACTGAAAGAGTCAAGGCCAAAGCGTCCCTCCTCGAGGCCCGTTCTGTAGCCTCACACGCTGTAAAGCTGGACTGGAAACGCCGTGGGTTGGTGTTGGGAAGACGAGGGGCAGACGCCGTTCTCCCCGATAACAATCTGTGCCAGAGACTTGGGGCAGCGCGCACGGAATTTGATTAGGGGAGAGAGGACTTGGGGAACAATGGGGGGGCTTTGTGCCTGTGCTGGTGGGTGGTAGCGTAACACCGCCAGGCAGAACGGAGCCCGGGACCGCTGGCGCTTAGTGCGGGTCTCTAGAGCTTGAGCTAAAAGCAGCAGGCGCTCAGCTAAAGCTGTAGAGGAAGCTCGTTCTGTGTCTGTCTGTAAGTGGTCTAAGTGCCACTACCTGGGAGAGTGACGCACGCCCACTGTGGGGAGGGGGAGGGGGGTATGGTAGCAGTGGCCCATCCTTGATTTCAAAAAGCAAATTCTGAGCAAGTGACTAGCAGGCTCAAGCATGAGAGTGCTCCAGGGTCTGACTGACGCCAGCTGAGCTTGGAATCCAAAGCTTGTGTGGCTGTTTCCTGGCCATGGGACAGGGCTGCTCGGAGGTGGATTGGAAAGGGAGCCTGGTGCCATCGAATACTGTTAAGGAAGCTGGGAAGTGGGCTGAGAACTGCAGGGTCAGCGTGTGGGCCTTGGCTATGGTAAAAAAAAGTCTGCCACCGTGTCAATAAATGGCTGGAGTTACTGGTACGATTGCAAAAAACGATCCACGGCTCTAAAGCGGAGGCCACAAATTTGCAGGGTGCTAGTGACACAAGATTGTATCCACCTCTGTGAAAACGGTCTGTGGATATCGGCATTTACCTCTGCGCCCGCGGACACCTGCCAACACCCTGCTCTGAGCCCCTCAATGACCTGAGCAATGCCAGGTAAAGGTGCGTGTATTATTGTAAGGGCCAGCGAGGGTGAAGTGTCACATGCAGCGGTGGCTTTTGCAGCAACATGATTACTCCCTGCAGGCCGGCCAGAAGGGAAATCTGTCCCTCGGCCGGGGGGCTGGAAGCAGGAGAGGTCAACTGGTCTCGATTTGATATGTGGCTGAGCTGACTAAGCACAAAATGCAGGGCAAGACCCAACCGGTTGGGGAAGAGGCCAGAGAAGTTCTCGGTTGGCTTGTCCGTGCCCAGCAGAAAGGTGACAAGCTACCATGAGGTGGCAGCTGGTGGAATTAACCCCCACGGGGTGTGCCATGATTTTTAGAGAAACTGGCTATTCATGACACCCGCTGAGCTCCCTGGCACCGCTGAGATCAGGCCAGTGGGCCACCAGAACTGGGAGCCCCTGTCAAGGTCACGGTGGCATAAACCTACCTTTGGATAAGATGAGTATCACATCTCCGGCCTGGAACGCCAGGTCCTCAGGCTGGGTGGCTTCATAACTGTAGCGTGCTACCACTTGGTTTGCTTCCAGCTGTGGAGAGGGTGTCTTCTGGGTGCCCTCCACAGTTCGGCTGTCTCCCGTGCTCAGTAAACCCTGGTCTCCCTAAGGTAGGAAACAGCCTGCTGAAAATGCCAGTTGGGTTTTTTTTAATGTGCATCTCTGTAAGAAAAGCTGCTGGCTGAATTGCGCTGCGGGAGGTCGCAATGCAGCCACACGGCAAGTCCCCTGGAGGGGATTCCTAGGGGCAGGTGCCTTCCTCTATCCAGACAGACCCGTTTTGTAGTTCTTGGCCAATGCAACTGTCCTTGCTGACAGCCGCTCCTCGCGTGCCCCCAATCCGTTTGCCGGGGGGAGGGGGCGCGACTGTCTGCGCGCAGGCAGCTCTGATCCAAGTGCGTGTGCTTAGCACGTCGGCGCAGGCCGGCTCTGTGGTGCCCAAAGGGGTCGCTGCGGAAAGCTGCCTCAGGAACACAATGTGGGGGATCAGTTTCAAGGCCGCTCAGTGGTCAGACCCAACCGTAGGTGGGTGTGTGGCGACAGGCCAGCTCCTGCTCTAAACCACAGCGTTTGGAGGGGCCTGCGTGGTACAGCGGCGTGCTGTGAGCCTCAACTTCACACGCCCCCAGCGGGGGGCACCAGCCCCGGAGCTCCCCCACCACCCTGCAGGCAGTGGGGCCCGTTTCGGAGGGCGGGGGCCTGACTGCTCGTGGCCATGGCAGGGCCCCTCGCCCTCTTCTGCTAACTCCCGGCCCCATTTCACCTCAGCACTGTCACTGGGGTAACGTTCCCTAGGGCGGTGGAGCGTTGCCTTTGGGGTGCAGCACAGCTGTGGGCAAACAACACTGCGGGGGCCAGCGAAGCTCCTGCGCTACTTTGCCCGGAGCGGGCAGCATGGAGCGTGCACACGGCGGCTTTGCAAAGCGGGCGGAGCGCCTGGGGGAGGCGTCACGTGGGCCCCTTGTCTGCACTGGGGAGAGAGTCGACTTGGGATGCGCAACTCCAGCTATGAGAACAGCGCTGCTGGAGTCGATGCACCTTAGGTCGAAGGGCGTCTTCCTTGTGGGAGGTCGATGGGAGAAAGGGTCACGCACAGCCCCCTTCTCCCCACTCGCACACCCCTCGGGATGCCCTGGTGAGCCGTTCCGAGCGCGTCCATGCCAGGGGAACTCGCTCACCCAGGCTGTGTGTTTGGGCCAGAGGGTACCACACTCTGAAGACCGAGGGGAGTCTTATGCAGCATCAACGTAGCACCTTGGAGTTGGGCCCACGGCTCTGGGTTCACCATGTTCACTCTCTCCCTGTCCCTCATTGGCTTTCCAATCTCCAGCGCCAGATTTCTCTCCCGCTGGCAGCAGCCAGGTGGGCCCAAGCTAGGCAGGCTGGTGCCAGAAGAGCTGTGCACAGTCAGCGAGGGCTACAACCAGCGGTTACTGACCTCGGTCACGTCGCACCACAGCGTCAAGCAATGGTCCTTGGCGTGGCTCCATATTGTCTTCATGCTGTCCTTGCTCAGCGTCACCAGCGCCTCGCTGTCGGCAGGCCGGTACCTGTGCCGGGGGAGGGGGATTTGCATGAGACTAAAATCCCCCTGGAGATGCGGCTGCTGCTGAGACCGGGCGGTCGCTCACTCACCTCAGGTTGGTGTGCTCTGGTGAGAGCTCCAGTTTCTCGCACACCATCTCCAGGAGTTCACCGTAGGTGATGCCAAGCCAGACGGGCATTGCGACTGTGTACTTGTAGTGCACCTTGAGAACGTAGGAGCTCGGGGAGCCTGAGCCCGCGTCCTGCAAGGGGAAAGTGGAACTGAATGCTGCAAAGACCTACTTGTAGTGCACCTTGAGAACGTAGGCGTTCGGGGAGCCTGAGCCCGCGTCCTGTAAGGGGAAAGTGGAACTGAACGCTGCAAAGACTTTTCCACGGAAATCCGGCTAGTTAGGACTCGTTAAAAGAGGAGCACTGAGGCCTGCCTACGTCAGGGGACTGGCATGAGAAATGAAATGTTCGTCACTAAGCCGCTGGGTCCAGTCGGACTCCAGTAATCTGCCAGCTGGAGCTCGGAGTCGCTTTCGCAGTAGGAAAGTCCCAAAATTCACCATCACAACAAAGGCCAATTGGCAACTGCTCTGGCAATTGGGAGGGAAGCCAAGCCACTCGATCGCTCTGACAGCAACTCCCACTGGTGGCTCAGGGCTTGCTCGTGCAGATACATGTGTGTTGCTCTGGCGGGGTGGGGAGAGGATAAAGGATCTCTCCCAAAAGGCTGCCCCAATCATGAACTTACCAGCACTGCACAGAGTCAAAGAGCGAGCTCAGAGGCACTAACAGACTCAGTTCCTGCTGGCCAGCTCCCTGTAGCCTGCCTATAGCTCCTATAGGGGACTATTGGTCTAGTCGGTGACAAGCTCAAAAAGGTGGTTGTGGCACTTGAATGAGTGCAAACATCAGACACGGTACATGCTTGTGTCCGATCGGCAGGGCTGTATTCACCATGCAGTGGTTCCTCTCCTCAAACCCACAAGCACACAGACACACCCATTACCTTTGGAACATCTTGCTGCTGTTTTTCAGAAGTACCAGGCCCAGGAACTGAATGGGAGAGCGAAGGGAAAAGTAGATGAATGACACAAACCAGGTAACTACTGTCACCCTGCACGCAAATGTATCCTGGGATTCACGGCACCCTTTTCACCACTCATCCCTCAGTACGTTAAACAATGACATTAGTTGGTTGTTGCTAAAAGGAGTGACGCGATTGAAGTGTTTCAGTGTTAATTCCCCACTGAGAGGAACGGAAGCAGCCTAATTTCTCTGACTCAGGCAGACGGCTTTGCCACGGCAAAGGTTATTTTTGCAACCGGAGGGCACAGAGGCTTAATTTTTAAAACAACGGAAGCCCACATGAAGGGACGACTTAAAATAATGAGCAAGATGTGGCTGAGTGAGCTGTGTAACCGCTGGTTGGTGCACCCCGAAGAGAGCTTGGCCCCTGGTGTATTTGTAACACTGGATGAAATGTCAGACCTGCTCATGGTTCTGTTTTTAATGGTCTCTCCTAGAGACTGAGGGGGCTGACGAGACTCCAAGTTCCAGCCCTAATGCGAGCCAAGTCCGCCCCAGGGGCAGAGGGCTGGGGTTTTGGAGCGGCGGGGAAGTTAGACTCCCCATGGGGCGCGTGTCTGTGTAGACCGATAACCTGGCGATCGGGGTGTAAAAACCTGCCTGTCAAACCAGTGACATTTTCTGTTCAGGGCTTGGGGTCTGTGGTCTCTGTTAATGGATGGTCTGGGAGCTGTCACAGAGCCACACCCCCTGGCTTCTGCTCCCCTGCCTTGTGGCGTGACCTCAGGCAAGTCACTGCAAAGTCCCCATTGCTCAGGGCCTTGGCATCTTTGGACCTGCTCTCTCTGTGCGTTTGTTTCCTTCTCCATGGACCACAGAGAACTCTTCCCGCACAGGGTCTGACAAAGTTAAACTGGTGGGCTTTGTGACTGCATTGTCAAGGCTTCACCAGGGGCTGGCTGCCCACAGGCAGGCTCCTGCGAGCAGCGGTAAGCTCCTTCGCTTAGAGGTAAGCTCAGGTGTTGTGTGTCCTGCACACGATAAGCTTTCTAATCCCCGAGGGTTGTGCTACTAGAGCGCGAGCAGGGGAAAATTCCAGTGATGCTGGACGTAAGAATGGGATTAACGACAGAACTAAGGGTGGGGTGGTCTCAAGTGCCCATGGGATTTAGGAGCACACAGGCCCCAGCGCTCCTAAGTGCCACAGAGCCATTTGATGCTATGATGATCACTGGTTATTACTGTCCCTTGCTCCAGCCTCCCTCTACTGCTCCAGTAGCGCCCAGGAAACAAGCAAGAGCTACAGCTGGTTGGGGATAACTTCCCCCGGTATAAACAGTTGTGTGGGGGCGGCTGGGGGCTGCAGGAGCAAGGGGGCACAACAGCTGGGGGGGGATACTAATGCCGAAGGCCTTTTTCCACCAGGTGCTCCCGTCTCCACAATCCTCGAGCGAGACAGCCACTGACCTGATGCCGGAGGCCTGGGTTTTTCCGGAGCAGTGGAAGTGGGTGGGGCGGGGATGTCCGACTCTGGAGGGGGTTCCTCCTGTGTGGGGTGTGATTGCAGTTAGTGTTATCAGCAGGGGGCAGCACTGAAGAGCTGGGGCCCTGCCGCCCTGCCTGTGCAATTCCCTTTCAGCGCACCGGGCAGAGCGGCTGATTTGGGATCCTGGGCGGGTGGGGCTCACTGGCCACGGCGTGGGACGTGGGTAGCCCTCGCTTAGCTCCACGCCATGCCGTGGTAGCGCTGCCCCGCCGGGCGGTGCCCCG